ATATATATATATATATATATATATATATATATATATATATATATATACTTTCACGAATTTCAATTTTTATTAAAACATTTTTTTAATCTTTTTGGGTATGCATTTTCAATTTTAGTATAATAATGTGCAAATTTGAATTAAAAGTCAACGGTAGTAGGCTACACGTAATAATTTGGCTACACGTAAATTTGAATAGGTTACAAAACTGCATACCCAAAAAGAAAGCAATGGAAGAAAAAATTTAAAGTGTGTTTTTTAAAAAGTATTCGATACTACGAATACTTTGCAAAGTATCGAGTAAAATCACCAAATAAGGTATCGAGTATTAAAGTACTCATTTTTATTCCCTAAGTATCGATACTTACTCAATATCGATAGTATCGTTCGAACCCTAAGTGTGCGTTCGGGTGGTGGACTGCTCAGTCCGACTGAGCAGGCTAGTGTCCTCAGGCCCATTAGCCATCACTTGCAAAAACCGGATGAAGAAGACACACCAGCTGATGTTGTTTATGTTTTATTTGTAAACAAACTCAATCTCATGTTGCCTCCATGGCAGGAAAAAGGAATGTGAACGTTCAATGTTCGGCGGGAACATTTCTGGAAGTAAAAACTAGTTAGCACTATCATAAAGTCACATAGCAGGCAGCTAAAAAGTATATTGTTACGGTTGTAACTGAAACGCCAATATTTCACTGCGGGAAGCCTTTTTAGAATCAAACTCCTTAAGTTGCTTATTTAATCGTATATCCGTGGTGGTAGAGTTTATTCTCTAAAGTAGTATTACAATAAAACTTAGTTTCAATTAATGCCAACATACAGTATATAAAACTTACTTGACCAAGGCCTCCCGTTCACTTTAAGGAAATATTTGCGAATGAAGACAATTTATCTTAACATTTGATTTTACTGTTACAGTTATGTACAAAGAACGAAAGGACAAAAGAAACAATGCAATAAGGAAGGCACACGGTTGCATTATTAGGTACTTTAGAATAAACCACTTTAAATGCTTGAGGTTAGTTTCCCACATCACCTCCCCCGTGAATCGTCTCCCGACCACGGGAACGTTCACCAGAGTCCTCTTCGACATCTAACACCGCTAATTTTGAAATTGGTAGCTTTAGTACTCCGCTGCTCGTATTCACTTCTGCTGATCTGGCGACTCCATCCGGACCGATGCGTCCGGGAGGTCTGCTTCACAAATGAGGACAAGACTCCCGGTGCTTATCGGCTTTGATGGGCTATTCCATTTGGTTCGACGAGTCAGCTCGGGCAAATACTCGCTCACCCAACGTTTCCAAAAGTGATTTTTAATATTTTGCAGCAAACGCCATTGCTTCCGGAGTGAGCACAAACGATGTTCATATAGCGCAGGTGTTTGCGTTGAGTTAGTAAAACCAAGTAAAAAATCATTTGGAATAAGTGGTTCGGGCTCGCTCGGTGTCACAGGCAGGTGCGTGAGCGGCCTCGAGTTTACTATGTTCTCCGACTCGACTACCAGACTATAGAGCGTTTCTAGTTTGGGAGCATGCTCCTTCAGCATGGAATTCAAGGCTCGTTTCACCGACTGCACAAGTCTCTCCCATGCTCCTCCCGCGCTGGGATCAGCTGGCGTATTATATTTCCACTTAACACCCATCGGTGCGAGGGCGGCAGTTATAGCATTATGGTCCAAAAAAGTTACATCATTACCTAGCTCCTTCGCTATACACACAAAATCGCTACGGATTTGTACCGGAACACCACGTCGGTTTATGAAGTTCCTTATGCAAACTATGCACGCATCGCTACTCAGG